GCATATGTGGTATTGGATAACTGGTCTCAGGAAAATACAGAATTGTTAGAAAAGGTCCAAGTAGAAGCTGCAAGAAATATTACTGGTCTAAGGGTAAATTCTTCAAGATCAATTCTATACGCTGAACTCTTTTGGGAGCCATTACATCAGAAAAGAATAAATCATAAACTAATATTATTTAATTACATTTTCAACAGTGAAATACTTTGATTTATTTATTGAATAAAAGTGATATTCTCTCACAGTGTGAAAAGATACCAAAATGATATTCTCTCACAGTGTGAAAGGATATCGAAGTAAGTAAAAAATAATTTCTGGCCTGTCATAACATAGAAATAGTAACTAAGCATCTTGATAGAGCTAAAACTGCAAATTTCTTCCCAAATATGTTGCTGAAATCCATGCTATATAATGTTTTCAATCACACAACTGCTAAGCTATGACGTCTCAACCTCTCAACTATGACGTCAAGCCTATGACGCTGTGTTAAGAAAAGATAGAGGCAAAGGGAAAACCAAAGAAAATGTAATAAACAGAAAATTCAATGTTTTGTAGATGAATATGGAATTTATTTCACTCGTGAGACAGGATTTTTTGATATTTTCACTCGTGCTTCGCACTCGTGAAAATATCAAAAAATCCTGTCCCACTCGTGAAATAAATTCCATATTCATCTACAAAACATTGAATATCCTCTATTTATTACATTTTCAACAGTGAAATACTGTGATTTATTCATTGAATAAAAGTGATATTCTCTCGCATTGTGAAAGGATACCAAAGTGGTATTCTCTCACAGTGTGAAAGGATATCAAAGTAAGTAAAATATAATTTCTGGTCTGTAATAAGATTGAAATGGTAACTAAACCATCTTGACAGAGACTAAAACTGCCAATTTCTTCCCAAATATGTTGCTAAAATCCAAGTTACAATGTCTTGTCATCTTACAACTGCTAAGCCATGACGTCTCAACTGCTCAACTATGACGTCACACAATTACGTTGTGTTAAGAAAAGACAGAGGCAAAGGGAAAATCAAAGAAAATGTAATAAATAGAAAATTCAATGTTTTTTAGTTGGATATGGAATTTATTTCACTCGTGAGACAGGATTTTTTGATATTTTCACTCGTGCTTCGCACTCGTGAAAATATCAAAAAATCCTGTCCCACTCGTGAAATAAATTCCATATCCAACTACAAAACATTGAATATCCTCTATTTATAAAATTGTCCACGGTATTGCCCCATATTTATCTTAGCTATTTATTACAGCCTTTCCAACCAGCGCATCATTCTTACAGATTGAGATCAGACAGAAGTAATCTTTCTCTATCCATAATGTAGAACTGTATCTTACTACAAGTTTTATTCCTTCAACTATAAAACTGTGGAAGAATCTTAGCTCTGATGTAAAAATGTCACCTTCTTTATTAATTTTTCAGTCAAAAATAAAAATTAAACGACCATTTAGCAGTTGTAAATATTTTAACAATGGTAACAGAAAAGAGAATATACTTCACTGTCAATTTCGCAATAAAGCTAATAACCTTAATGCACACTTAAACAATCATTATATAATAGCTGATGCATCTTGTCCTAGGTGTGATTACCATAATGAGCACTATTTTATTAATTGTCCAGCATATAGCATACAAAGAATAAACTAATAAAAGACCTACAACCTGAGCTAGGTGTACCGTATGAGCTAAAGATTTTTTTACATGGGTGTTCGGAGTTTTCGTATCAAAGGAACATCCACATACAAATTATGTACAAGAATATATCCCTCCTCGTAAGCCAGGGGTCCTGAGTCAATACGTTGCCATTGGACGGCAACGTGTTGACTCAGGACCCCTGGCTTGCGAGGATGGAATATATATGGTTAACAAAACGTTTTTAAATACATTTCATTTTAATATATTCTTTTCACTATATGTTATTAATACAATTCTGTCATCAAATTCCACTTTTTACTGGTTTTACAGGCGACAAATATGTTAGTTCTGATAAATTCTGAAATCGCCATTTTGAAGAGCGACTCAAATCACTGATGCTCATAACTAATTCAAAATAATTATTTTCCCGAATATTTTCATGTAGAATTATTAAACTACACTTACATTATCTATTTCAAATCAATGCGGCATCAAATTTCACTTTTTACTGGTTTTACAGGCGATAAATAAGTCAGTCTTGATAAATTCTGAAATCGCCATTTTGAAGAGCGACTCAAATCACTGATGCTCATAACTAATTCAAAATAATTATTTTCCCGAATATTTTCATGTAGAATTTAAACTACACTTAGATAATCTATTTCAAATCAATGCGGCATCAAATTCCACTTTTTACTGGTTTTACAGGCGATAAATAAGTCAGTCTTGATAAATTCTGAAATCGCCATTTTGAAGAGCGACTCAAATCACTGATGCTCATAACTAATTCAAAATAATTATTTTTCCGAATATTTTCATGTAGAATAGTTAAACTACACTTAGATTATCTATTTCAAATGAAACCGGCATCAAATTTCACTTTTTACTGGTTTTACAGGCGATAAATAAGTCAGTTCTGATAAATTCTGAAATCGCCATTTTGAAGAGCGACTCAAATCACTGATGCTCATAACTAATTCAAAATAATTATTTTTCCGAATATTTTCATGTAGAATAGTTAAACTACACTTAGATTATCTATTTCAAATGAAACCGGCATCAAATTCCACTTTTTACTGGTTTTACAGGCGATAAATATGTTAGTTCTGATAAATTCTGAAATCGCCATTTTGAAGAGCGACTCAAATCACTGATGCTCATAACTAATTCAAAATAATTATTTTTCCGAATATTTTCAGGTAGAATAGTTAAACTACACTTAGATTATCTATTTCAAATGAAACCGGCATCAAATTTCACTTTTTACTGGTTTTACAGGCGATAAATATGTTAGTTCTGATAAATTCTGAAATCGCCATTTTGAAGAGCGACTCAAATCACTGATGCTCATAACTAATTCAAAATAATTATTTTCCCGAATATTTTCATGTAGAATTATTAAACTACACTTACATTATCTATTTCAAATCAATGCGGCATCAAATTTCACTTTTTACTGGTTTTACAGGCGATAAATAAGTCAGTCTTGATAAATTCTGAAATCGCCATTTTGAAGAGCGACTCAAATCACTGATGCTCATAACTAATTCAAAATAATTATTTTTCCGAATATTTTCATGTAGAATTATTAAACTACACTTACATTATCTATTTCAAATCAATGCGGCATCAAATTCCACTTTTTACTGGTTTTACAGGCGATAAATAAGTCAGTCTGGATAAATTCTGAAATCGCCATTTTGAAGAGCGACTCAAATCACTGATGCTCATAACTAATTCAAAATAATTATTTTCCCGAATATTTTCATGTAGAATAGTTAAACTACACTTAGATTATCTATTTCAAATGAAACCGGCATCAAATTCCACTTTTTACTGGTTTTACAGGCGATAAATATGTTAGTTCTGATAAATTCTGAAATCGCCATTTTGAAGAGCGACTCAAATCACTGATGTTCATGACTAATTCAAAATAATTATTTTCCCCAAATATTTCTATCTAGAATTATTAAACTACACTTCGATTTTCTTTTTGAAGCTAAACCTGCATCCATTTTAATTTCCTTAAGTTGGTACAGACCGTGAACTAGTAGCTTCTGATGGATTTCTGACGAGCGACAGAAATCACCGATGCTCATAATTTATTCATAATAATTATTATTCGAATTTTTTTCTCTAGAATTATTAAACTAACCTTTTATCATCTACTCTTTGTCATAACTGCATCCAATTTTTTAAGTTGTTAGAGATGGAAATATAATTCTGGTAGGTTATGAAACCCCCTTTTGAAGAGCGACCGAATAACTAAATAAATTTAAAAAAACGTTTTCCGATTTTTTCCCTAGAAATATTGAACTACACTCAGATAATCTACTTTAAATCAAAACTGCATCCCGTTTTACTATTTAATGTTGTAACAGAAGGCATACTAGTCGGTTCGTTTAAAACAATTGAACATGAAACCGTAATTTTGAAGAGCGACTGGAATCACCGACGGTCTTGATTTGTTTAAGATAATGTTTCTTCAATTCTTCATATTCAGATTTATTAAACTCAAAATTTATATCAGCTACATAAAATTAAAACCACATCCATTTTTTTTTTTCACTTTTTCTTATCATTTCGCCGGACAAGTGGCCAACCACCCTAAACGTATTTAAAATTATTATGTCGTCATTATTTATTTGTTCAGAATTATTTTCCCGTCATTTAATTTATCTGTTAAATAAAAAATAGGTCGAAATGAGATAAGAATTATCACTTTATATTCTGGTGAAATACAGGTATTTATGGTTCATTGAAGACAAAATATAAGTGTATATAATGACACACTTATTGGATAAAAACACACTTCACACCTTTGGTAAAAATTGACCACGGGGAGCTGTGTTTGTGAGTTATTAACATACAGGTAATTGTTGACACCTGTCTAAGAAAACACCCTGGGCATGGTTCACACCTGTTGAAACAAATGACTGAGAGATTGTTAACCGTAGCATGTTCCCCCCCCCCTTCTTTTCCTTTTAAATATATATTCAATTTACAAAATTTTTAATTAAATTTGAAGTCGTTTATTTTCTTTTAGAAAATAAATAGATTTTAGAAATCTCAAACATCATTTATTAATCCTATACGAAGAAAATTCAATATTAAGTTTTAAATAACATATATAATTGTTTTGCATACTTTTAGGATTAAAATAAATAAATAAAACACTAAAAGCCAAGACTGCGGATACTATTACCGTGGATTTAAAACCAGTAGAGCACCGCTTTGATTTGAAGCGACTAAAATCCCCAGGCATGCGCAGAGGCCAGTGATTTGAGTCGCTCTTTTCCCTATATATTCTATTAAGAGCGACCCTGAGCACTAGCGACAGAAATCACGGTTACACCGCTCCGAGTTTCTGTGTTTTGACACTGTCCCGGATGTTGTGTTTTTACAAATCGGCGAGAATGATATTTCCACTTCCACGAATAGCAGAAAATTAGCCATGGATATTATTTCCGTTGCACAATATCTTCGTGACGGAGTAGGTGTGAAATTAATTATTATAGGTCAATTAATTCGCCGTATGCAGTTCGCATCATGCAGAAATTTCAATGCCACAGTGGTTGAAATCAATTTACATGTGAAACAGATGAGCGACCCCCTATGTGGTATTCATTATTGGGGACATAGAGGGTTCTGGAATGACCTGCAATACCTAGGACCAGATGGTGTCCATCTGCTCTGTACCCCTACTGAGGACCAGCCTATGAGGAAATATCGCCGCAGTGTCAGGAATGCGGTGATCCTGCTTTCTAAATTACTAAGGCCAGTATAATTTTTGCCTTGCATATTGTTCATTATTTTATGAGCACTAAAGTATTTCTATGTCACAATTTTTACAACAAACATACACGATAATATTGTGTTGGAATGAGTCATGCTCTCAATGTGACATTTGAAGATCAAGAGTTAAATATCAATTGTGCCTAATTAAAAGACAGATACCTCAGTTTGCACACAAAAGGCAGGTATGATAGGTAGTCGAATATATAATGATGAAGTATGACACATGTTTTAATTTTTGTTGTTGTTATTGCCCTGTAAAACCAGTTAGATATTTCTTGATGCCTTCTAGGTCAGAATCAGAGAATTACACATACTATTCATAAAATGATCTGAGTTCATTATGTAATTAGGAGTCAGTGTATCTCTTTTATTTACATGTTGGGGCAGTTTTAGTAAAACCCGATAAATATTTAGTCTCATGTCAACAGGTGTTTAGGAGTCAGTGTGTTGGTGGTATTTACATGTCCGTGTGGGTCAGAGTTTACCCATTTATTTTGTTTGAATAAAGTCAACATGTAATTAGGAGTCTAAGCTACTCTGTTATTTACAGGTTTGTGTGGGTCGGAGTTACCCATATATTTATTGATTAATGTAACATGTAATTAGGAGTCTGAGTTACTCTGTTATTTACATGTTTGTGTGGGTCGGAGTTACCCATATATTTTTTGATTAATGTAACATGTAATTAGGAGTCTGAGTTACTCTGTTATTTACATGTTTGTGTGGGTCGGAGTTACCCATATATTTCTTGATTAATGTAACATGTAATTAGGAGTCTGAGTTACTCTGTTATTTACATGTTTGTGTGGGTCGGAGTTACCCATATAGTTTTTGATTAATGTAACATGTAATTAGGAGTCTGAGTTACTCTGTTATTTACATGTTTGTGTGGGTCGGAGTTACCCATATATTTTTTGATTATGTAACATGTAGTTAGGAGTCTGAGTTACTCTGTTATTTACATGTTTGTGTGGGTTAGAGTTCCCCAGATATTTTGGGGTCAGATTTCTTTACATAATTTTATTTACTTTAATTTAAATATGTAATTAGGAGTCAGAGTTACTCTATTATTTACATAGTTTTGGTTATAGGAGTTATTCAATTCAGGGATTTTGTGGGGAGTTAAACTATAGACATTTGGTAAAAGATTTTCATCATATATAGAGTACAGCTGTTAGCTAGGTACTCAGATGTTGTCAATTAGACTCTCTGTCATTGTGCCATAATGTGTCTAACCTGTATTGGATAACTATTTTGTCTTCACTTAGGAATCAGTATTCCCCATTCTATTAAAAAAATTGCAAGTTCACAATCTCACAGCTGGCATTCATATACTTGAAATATGTATTGCCATTATCGTTGTGAGATGAACCTAAATCTGTAGAGTTTTGTTTTTTAATAATTATCTCTTCTTCAGAAGCAATGCCACCAAAGAAAAGAAGCAAAAAAGGGGAACTCACAGCAGATGAGCAGCCCAATTCCTCCAGCACAGGGAGAAAGCGAAAGCGAGGGACTCCCACTCAACAGACAGAGAATGTGATGCCGAGTGCTCTGCCAACCATTGACTACACACTACTGGCAAAACACATATTAACTGAACAACAGAAATTAACATCCAGTGAGAATGGACTTGCTGAGGCAACCGTGAGCCAACATGGGGAGGCATCCACATCGGTTATCCAAAACAAGGAGCCACAGTCCAGCAGTGAGCTAGTTAACCCTGCAGCAACTACGAGTGTTACAGATGGTACCCCACAAGCTAGTGCCATGGTCCCAGCCTCTGCACTTGGTGCACTTCTGGACAATGTTTTTACAGGTGAGCCAGCAGGCAGTAATTCTGACACTAATCCACAAATTCAATTAACAGATTGCGTGCCTCTTGGGGCTACAGTTTCATCCAAATTAAAACTTAAAATTTGGAATAATGAATTTGTTGACCTGAAACTTCTTTTACCCAACTCAAATGAAGAGCCCCTTTCAATTATGGTAAAAGCTGGTAAAATTGAACTGCAGCAAACATCATCAAATAAAAATCCAATAACAATCCATCAATGGACAGATGCATTTTTGATATTTAGTACCATATATCTACAGAAGTTCCCTCAGGAGGCAAGCAATCTGTTGAAATATATGTTTACTATTCGTGACATAAGCAAGCTCCATGGTGAGCAAGCATGGAGGACTTATGATGAGTCTTTTAGGAAAATTAGGGAGACATCCCTCTTACCATGGGAAAAAGTAGTAACAGAGTTACGGTTAAAGGCAGCCTCTGTGGGAATTAGGTCTCCTAACAAATTGCAAGGGAGTAGTGGCAAACGACAGCCTTTTCGTCCCAAATACTGCTTTGCGTATAACAAAGGGCAAAAGTGTAACTCCCACCCATGTAGATTTTCCCATACCTGCCAAGACTGCCATGGTCCCCACCCCCGAGTTCAATGTACAGGCATACGGTCCAACTCATCCTCCTCAATTAGAAATGGCAGTAGCCCTTCCAACTCCAGTAAACCCAGTACAACTCAAAAGTGAGTTAGAAGGTTATGAAAAAGAAAAACTGAATTTTCTAGTTTCAGGGTTCACATTTGGTTTCCGTTTAGGGTGTGTCAAGACCCCTTCCATTCACCCTCCTCATAATCACAAATCAACCTATGAACACCCAGATATTGTAGATGACTATATTAATGCAGGTTTAAGTAGGCAAAGAATTTCAGGCCCATTTACACATCCACCCCTACCACTTTTTAAAACTTCTCCATTGGGGGTTGTCCCTAAATCTGAACCAAATAAATACCGAATCATTCATGATCTTTCTTTTCCAGCCCAGGATTCAGTCAATTCAAATATTCCTAAAGAATGTTCTGAAGTTCATTATGATTCAGTTGACACTGTTGTAGCACTGGTACGTCAGTTTGGTAAAGGTTCTCTTATGGCTAAATCAGATATTAAAGATGCCTTTCGAATTATACCAGTACATCCGTCTGATTATCATCTTTTGGGTTTCACATGGCAAGGTCAATTTTATTATGAGCGTTGTCTGCCAATGGGGGCAAGCAGTTCTTGTCAAATATTTGAGCAGTTAAGTACAGCTCTTCAATGGGTAATGTTAAACAAACTGAAGGCTTCAGGCATGTCTCATATTTTGGATGATTTCTTTTTCATTGGGCCTCCCAACTCACAGAAATGCAAACATGATTTGAACAACTTTTTGTCGTTATGTGGAAGAATTAACATTCCAATGAATATGGAAAAAACTTTCGGGCCAGTGACATGCATTACTATTTATGGTATTGAGGTAGATTCCATTGATATGGTGAGCCGCCTTCCACTTGACAAACTCGAGAAATGTAGAAATTTAGTGCGTCAGTTTAGAAACAGGAAGAAGGTTGCATTACGGGAACTTCAATCATTAATTGGAGTGTTAAACTTTGCATGTTTGGTAGTGGTTCCTGGTAGGGCTTTTTTGCGTCGTTTAATTGATTTGACAATAGGGATTGTGAAACCTCATTACCTTATCCGTTTTAATAAGGAGGTAAGAGCAGATTTGGCAATGTGGCTGCACTTCCTAGAAAATTTTAATGGAAAATCAGTTCTTTTTCCAGAGGAATGGGAATCATCAGATATCACCCGATTATTTACAGATGCTTCTGGTTTATTAGGGTTTGCTGCTGTGTTTGGATGTAAATGGTTTGCAGCTGAATGGACAGAGTCTCTTTTTCCCATGCAAATTGCAGTGAAGGAGTTGTTTCCAATTGTATTAGCTCTAGAAATTTGGGGGTCAGAAATGGCAAATAGAAAAATTCTTTTTATGTCAGACAATATGGCTGTGGTGGAGGTGATAAATAAACAGTCCAGTAAAGAGAAAAATCTTATGCATCTTCTTCGCCGTTTGGTATTGGTTTGTCTTTCAAATAATATCTTCTTTAAAGCTAAGCATATTCCAGGCAAATACAATGTGGTAGCTGACAGTTTGTCACGTTTGCAATTTCAGAAAGCACGGGAGGTAGCACCATACTTAGAACAACAGGCAACTGTCATTCCGGCACACCTATTACAGATTTGACCTCTTCAACTCGTTCAGTCCTTGTGGCAGCTTTATCACCTCCTGCACGATATGCTTATAGACATTCTTGGCAACTTTTCCTCAATTACAGAAAAGATCCAGTATCTCTACCATTGCCTATTACAGACATTTGTAACTTCATTGGTTTTCTTTTTGAGAAACAATACAGTTCTAGCAGCATTGCCTCACATATATCGGCATTAGGTTATGTTCACAAAATTACCAATTTGCCAGATCCAACTCAAACTTTTATTGTGCGCAAACTACTGAAAGGTTGTCACAAGCTACTACCCGCTCAGGATGCTAGATTGCCAATAACGAAAAATATCATGCACAAAATTTTGGCTGCACTAGTCTTTACTGTTCCACAAGCTTTAAATCAGGTTCTTTTGCAAGCCCTTTTCCTTTTATGTTTTAATGCATTTCTGCGTTTAGGGGAAGTTATCTCAAAAACTCTAGCAGATAAGGACAAAGTTCTGCAAATACAAGACATTACATTCAGTGGAGAAAAATGCAGTCCTTCAGCAGTTCAAATTGTTCTTAGGCACCATAAATCTCAACAGAAAAATGAGCCCATCATTATATCTATTCAAGCCAACCCTAGTTCACAATTTTGTCCAGTGCATAATCTTTATAAGTATAAATCATTATTTCCACATGTGTCAGGCCCCTTCTTCCAGTTTGTCAATGGCACTCCAGTCACATATTCTTAAGTCAGTAGTGAACTTTCAAAAGCAATAGCATTTGCAGGTCTGGATCCCAAACGTTATAAGGGGCACAGTTTTCGAATAGGTGCAGCAACGCATGCTGCACAGTTAGGGTATTCTGAGACTTTCATTCAACATTTAGGCAGATGGAACTCGAATGTTTTGCACAGATATATTAGAATTAAATCTTTTCAGTTGTAATAAAATATAGGATTCCCTCCTCCCTCCCCCCTTTTTTCTATATCAGTCCATCCCAGGGCAGGTCAGTGTCTAACTGCTGCTACTACTGGTTACGTGTAAAGTTTGCAGGTCAGTGTTTAACAGCTGCTATTAAGTTCTTTGCAGGCCAGTGTTTAACTGCTGCTATTGAGTTAGGTTGCAGGTCAGTGTGTAACTGCTGCTTAAATTTTATTTAAGAGATATTGCAAGTATTAAGGAGGGATGTCTCTCTCTTTTGATCTCAGTACCTGGCTTATAGGGTGTATATATGTAGATGTAGTTACATTTCCACAGTACAGGTCAGTGTTTAACTGCTGTATTGTTAAGTTGTTTTAATTATTTGTCATTGCGAAATGATTCTTTTCATTATTTGTATATGTAAACTGTTAGGTGCATGTTGACAATCATTTTCTTTTTGAATTAATATAACCACTGCCTGCTGGTTACATCCACCGGATGACTTTCAAGTTTATATGTATTTCATATGCACAATCTTTCTGTGTAAAGCAATTCTTGCAGAAACAGATGCCAGGTCAGTGTTTAACTGCTGGTATAGCTTAATGTGCATTTTCATCATGTATAAACCAGGGAAATATTGTTTACAATGTAATTTTGTGCGCAACCTCACCTTGAATGGCACAATGCGATTGCCAATTATGTTCGGCAATCACATTTGGTGGCATATTTATTTTTGATGTGCCATCTTTTTGCTGTATACTTACTGTTTTTTATATTTTTTGCAAATATTGTTTATCGGTAAATTTAGGGGATCAGCATATTGATATGTATTGTGTGAATACCTTTTGGTCTGATCCCCTATCATGTTTATGTATATATATTTCTTATTTTCGTCATTTTTAATAAATGACATATTTCATCTCAACATTGGTGTTGATTTCATTGATTATAACTCAGCAAAAACAGAGCTGCGGTGAGTTTGTGCAGCATGAGGAAACATAAAACAACAATTATGTAAATAATTTCATTTATGTGTTGAATGCTGTTTAGTTCTCTATTGTTTAAATGTAAGTAAGTAAATATTGTATTTTGTATTGTTTTAAATCTCAATATCTTGATTTTTCTTCATCGGCTTGAATTCTCCCATGCCTTGCAGGTGTCAGGTGCACGTTATGCAATTTTCCCCATTTCTTCAGAGTGCATTTTGTATTCTCTTAAGAAATAATCACTGCTAATAATCACTGCTACTTGTCAGTACATATACTTAAACCTGGTACGTACATACCTGTCGCCCGCGTGGCACAGTGATCAGAGCGTCTGCTCTAGAGCCGCGGAGTAAGGAGTTGATCCTTACGTCGCGGGTTCGAATCCCACTGTGGGACGTGGAGACCGGTCCTTCGGATGAGACCGTATAAACCGAGGTCCCGTGTCGCAGTAGGTGCTGGCACGAAAAAGATCCCTCACTGCTCAATGGCCGTAAGTGCCGAGTATAGGACAAAAATTTGCAGCTCTCCACCGGCAAGTGGTGGCGTCTCCATATGAGTGAAAAATTCTCGAGAGGGACGCTAAACAACATACAAACAAACAAACAAACGTACATACCTAATATTTGTCTTAAGCGATAACCCCCAAATCACATACATGTAAGCACACAAAACTAAAAAAAATACTTTGGCAGGTATAAGAAGTGGTACAAGTCAATTTCTTTGCCCCAAAACTGGTTAAATGATATAACATTGCGTTTATATTCTACGAAAAATTCTTTACATCTGTTTTAAATATTGTGCTTTATTTCAAAGGTGACGCGTTTGCAGTGACTGGTATTCATGCTAAACCTGCAGATGCCGTTTCTGAAATTGGTCACCTGGAGACTGTGTACTACGACGTCTATAATCACTGGAGGACACCGGTAATTCTCTAAATTAATCACTAATACGCAGATACTGATGGGGGATTTCACTGTTATCTTTCAGAATATAAAATACTGATGGGGGATTTCACTGTTATCTTTCAGAATATAATGGTGATGGGGGGATTTCACTGTTATCTTTTAGAATATAATAGTGATGGGGGATTTCACTGTTATCTTTCAGAATATAATGGTGATGGGGGATTTCAATGCTGACTGTTCCTATGCCTCTGAGGAGGAACTCTCCAGTAAGGCGTTCTACACAGACCCCCTGTTCCAGTGGCTGATTGATTGGGACGTCGACACCACAACCTCTACTACAGATTGTGCCTATGACAGGTCTGGTTTTTAAATATTTTTTGAATTAAAAGAAATATTGTATATTGTTGTGTCTTTTTGAAGATTAGGTCATTTTTATTTGTTAGTTGTTAAAAATGTTTATTTCGGTTCAGACGAAGTGTTTTCAAACTTATCTGAATTTATGTTGTTTATTTATATGATTGTATGGTCTATTTTGTGTTTTCTCGCATTAAAAGCTACTACTCTTCTGACACACAACAGAAATCGCATTATCTGAGATGTAATTCTATCTCAATCAGTACTTAAAAACGTCCATATATAATATCATGATACATGTACATCTACATGTATTCGTGATCTAGATTATCCTTTATAAAATACATAATTATTTAAAATTTCAGCGGTCCCTTTTAGCCCAAAATGATTCATAAACTTAAGATAAAGTTTTAGCAACAATTCATGAATTTAAACCGCTAAGACAATTATTACATTTAGAAGACTACAGGTCATTGCTTAAACGACCGCCTATGTGAGATCATGCCTTTGAAAAGTCTATACATGTATATAACAATCATTGCCAAAATGATACCATTTAAGAAAGCAGACTTGTGAAATTAAGAATTCTAACCCAATCTATCGGAGGTTCTGAGTATACGACATTGCAAATTAGAAAAATTGCATTATGACTTTGGAATGCATATGTACTTTCAAAACACGACCTGCCACAAAGAAGAATACTTATTTTCATATTTATACTAACCAGACCAGAAGTAATAAATGCGCGGCAAACACTCATAATTTTACATTTATGATAGAGGTCCTTTAAAATCTAGTATAACTATTTCTGAAAAAATATCTAATCTCTTTGTGGTAGGTCGTGTTTTGTAAGCACATTTTACACCATATTTGCATCGATTTTTTTTTTTAGAATCGTAGTATCAGGTAGCAGAATGGTGACTTCTGTAATTCCGGCCACAGCGGAAGTCTATCGCTTTGATCAGGCATTCAGTCTCAGCTATGACCGTGTAAGTGTATATCACAAATTCATATTTGCTTTAATTATGCGATAATGTGTACCGGATAGTTTCTAATTGGTTCAATGAACCCGCATCTTGTGTATTGATTTTCATGCAGCATCAGTTGGATTCATTTTTTTAAATGCTGTTTAGTTTACGCCTTAACAATGAGTAAGTCTTTTGTCTTGAAGACTCAGCAGAATGTTTCATAGATGTCAGTGATAAATAAATCGTGGCTTATTATCATTTGTTTTACAGGCCTACGATCTCAGTGACCACTATCCCGTGGAAGTTAGACTGAGTTGGTAAATGTAAAAGTTCTCAATCAATAAATTCAATAGATATAACTTACAGTTTTTCATGGCTCGAACAAAGGTGTCTGAAAGTCATTTGGTAAGAGTTTTTGGAAGCCAAAAATTTATAAACATTTGAGAACAACGCAATATCACTGTTTCTTACATATAAAAACGTTAAAACCTACCAGCCAGTAACTGCAATCTGCAGTTGTCAGTGGCCTGAAAATTTGGTTAAATGACCAGCTGCAGAAAGCTATAGATGCATGCATTCATAATGCATATTTGTCGCACACTATCACAAAAATAGAGTTATACCTCCATATACCTTTAACTGTGTGTCCCTTACAAATTCTTCTTGGCTTCTACAATAAAACAGTCCAAATAATTCTCCTGGGCTTGAGGATGAGAGCATTGAATCTTTTGGTGTTCTGATAGAAGTAACTCACAAACACTCTAGATATTTGATTACCAGTATATATTAACATATTATCTATAAATAGAATAAGGCATTATACAATTATAGCTGCTTCAAAGGTTAGACGTAAAATGATTTAGCCACTGAAGAGTACAATATTCACTTGTTTTTTTATATGGTTTAATTATTAAATGATATAATGATACAAACTCATTAAGCAAATCATGACATCTATCTAGTTTACATTTGCTGAAATCCAAGTCAAACGTAGAAGCCGGATTAAAATGAACATTACTATTTGTACTAATTTGGAATTTCTTAATTCTATTTGCTGCGATGTAGAAAAATAAATGTGAATATGTAATGTGAAAAGGGAAGAGGATATTATAAGGAAAAATAAACTATGCCCCCTGTTCTTTGTGCTTGAATGTTATAATCACCTGAGGGGAAGTCGGATGCAGCTGAAATAACTTTTCAGAAGTAATTGAATTGTATCAATTTGGAAGAAAATATAGAAAAAATCCTTATTTTTACCTGGAAGGTCACGTACAAGTGAACATAACGTAATACTTTTTCTACAATGTTGGACCTCAGCCAATCTGAGAGCAAGGAATTATTCAAACATTTAATAAAACTTATAAGTGAATAATGCAAAATTCAATAACGTAAATTTCACTTTACAAAATATGTTATACAAATATATCAATATTTATCCAGGGTGTTAAATGATGTAACACAAATCAGCACGCTTTTAAAGCTAATGAAAAAGGTGAACATAATGGTGATCGATCTAAAAGAAAAAACCTGACAAACAATAAAAATCTGTGAACAGGGCATAAAACAAGGACCCCGGAAATTCCAGAGGTGGGATCAGGTGCCAAGGGCGATTAAGCTCCTTTTTTACTGTCCTTTAAGCAAGTCTTTTATTTCCTGATTTTGAGTCAGTTCTTCTGCGGTTTTTCCGTTTTTATCTCTTGCGGAAACGTCTGCATTCCTTTGAACGAGGCATTCTACAATACAAATATTCCCTCCAAGGGCTGCATGATGTAGCGGGGTTCTTTTATCCTTATCAGCAGCATTTTCGTTTGCTTCATAATCAAGAAGCAACTTCACGATTGAAAGATTTCCTTTCATAACAGCTTCATGAAGAGGGGTTCTTTCATATTCATCAGGAACATTAATATCAATTACACAGTTATAATCATCAATCAATGTTTTTACTACTTCGAAATTGCCCCCTTCTGTGGCTGCGTGCAGCGGTGTTCTTAAATGCACATCCTTTGCATTTATATCTGCTTGTTTTTCGGCAATGAGATACTTGACCACTGCAACGTCTTTCGTTTGACAAGCTTCATGTAATGGAGTCCAAAGAGCTATAGTGGTAGCCCTCACATTGGCGCCACTTTCGCAAAGATATTTGGTTATTCCTATTATTGAAGCCTCGAATAAAGGTGTTCTATTTGTATTGTCTACCGCATTGACGATTGCTCCTTTCTTTACGAGTTCTTTTACAATACTCAAAGTCTTTGCGTAATGTAATGGGGTTTTTCCATCAGGATCTTTGACATTAACATCAACATCTCTTCTTATCAAAAGATACACAATCTTTTCGTGACTTCTTTTTACCGCCGCATGAAGAGGTGTTTCATCAGAATATTTAGAATATTTTCCGCTATTAATATCTTTTGCAAGTGGAAGTAAAAACTTCACATTCTGAACGAATCCGTGCCTTGCACCTCTGACTAATGCTTGACCAATCTCTTCAGTATTTAATGTCGCCCCTCTAAATACTAAATATATTCGAATGTCATTTCCTTCCTGTCTCAATGCAGAAAAGAGTGGCGACACGATTTGGTTACAACCATCAGCATTAACCTTTACACCATGTTTATTAACCAAACTCTTAACAATATCCAAGGCTGTATCACCTTTTGAACAAGCTATATTTAAAGGGGTTTCTTTATCCTTGTTAACAATTCTTGGATTTGCACCGCATTTCAGTAATTTTTCTGCAATTTTAAAATGATTATTTCTCAGTGCAACATGCAGTGCAGAATCACCTTTTTTACATGTAGATACTTCATTAATTTTTGCATGCCTTTTTAACAACATGTTTACAACTGTCCTATTCCCGAAACACGATGCAACAAAAAGGGGTGACCTATTCTGTTTGTCACAGAGATTAATATTTGTTATATCAATAAAACGTTCAATGCATCTTTCGTTATTGTTCCTTATAGCAATATGCAAGATAGTCTCTCCGGCTTCATTGCATACATTTGCACTATTCCTGTACAAAATTTCAACAATATCTTGCTTTTTCCCGTCGCCCGGAGATAATGATACAGCCTCCAAAATTGGACTCGATCCCCTCTTTTGCAGATAGATATTTGCACCTTTCAAAGACAACATCTCAACTATGTCCTTAAACTGCCCCTGTACAGCTTTGAAAAGAGGTGATACAACACCCTCGCCACATGAGTCGACTTCAATATTGTCACATTTAAGAAGTTGTTCTACAATGTTTGAGTTGTTTGACTCGACTGCATAGTAGAGGGGAGTTTTACCTTCTTTATCTAGAAGATTAACAAATGCATCATCTTCAACTAATAAGGCAACCACATCGATATGTCCATTTCTTGATGCAAGATGCAGGGCTGTCTGATTTTTGGAATTAACAACATTAGTATCAAGATTTCTGTCTCTATAAGATTGAACGTTTTTGATTTCCCCATCCTCTGCAGACTTAAGAAATGAATCTACAATGGATAATTATCACGCCAATAAAAATTTTTAAGTACAAGTGATAGAACTTTAAAAAAAACTTTGATTCCATTGCGTTAGCAAATGAAATCCAACGCTGATTGAAACAAATCACACTTTATATATATCAAAACAAAATAATTCTTCTTCGTTAACACCACATTTTTATTCATGCAATTCTTTAATAATTTAAAGGGGTATTCTCAGTATTTTATAAGTGAGTTGAATAAAAAATGAAAAATTACGTTTTATGTACTACTGTACAACAGTTTATTCTGAAGAAGTGATTTGTGGCGAACTGCAACACCAAATGGTATGGCTATTCATAATTAAAAAGCTAATATACCACATAGGTTGATTTTAAAGGAAAAGACCCCCCCCCCCCCAATTTAATTGGAAATATTTTTTTTCTACTTTTCAGAATATATTGAAAACTGTAAATGAACAAAATAAAGAACTATTTTAGCATCAGTATTTACAATTCACATATATTTTGCTGATAAAGTGTGTGGAAACTATTGTTTTTTCAAAACACCATAGCATGGATGGGGAGATCAAAGAGTTAAAGTATGGTTTTTATTTTGACGTCACAAACGTTGAACACCGTGCAAATGCAACATCATCAGCGAAATTCAAAATTCACGCTCACATTGAACAATTTAACGGTAGTAGTTGTTGCAATGACTCTTCCGTTAAATGAAACTTATCCGAAGGGAAATATAAAAATCACATTATAAATCACAAAATATAAATCAAATTTACAGACAAGGCAGGGTGCTAAATGTAAATATAAGCATTTACATTTGTAAGTGTTGATATTTGAGAGATATCACGGTATGTGCCAATGAATTTTCATGACTCACTAACGCGCGTTACTCAATTTATTTGCACACATCGTTGCAATTAATAGACTTACATAATTCAATGCCTTAGTATCTTTAGCCGTTTAGCCTTAAAAAATCTATTTTCTATTTTTCCTTTACTAAAATTTACTTATTACCCTGTTAGTTCATAAAATCGGTAAATAAATGGTGGGGATTTCTAGTGAATAGACAAACCGACAGACAAACAGATAAAGACATGTAGATATACAAAAAAAAAAAAAAAAAAAAAAAAAAAAAAAAAAAAAAAAAAAGAAAACCTAAGGGAGATGTATAATAAATTCAAATTTTACTTTTCATCAATCATACATTTTCACATATTTACGTTTCAAAAAAATATTTAAATAATCTATCTGTTGGTTAAAGAAATTTGATGATATATGCTGAATTTTATATTAACCAGAAATAATATTACGCAAAATAATATAAAATAGCACAAAAAATTCCCTGATCATTATTTGTTAACATGCCTACCTTTTTCGGAATCAGAGGGGGTATCTAAAATAAAAGCATCAAAGTAAGATTAATTCTCTCTCTCTCTATTTATATGTGGCGTTCATCAGTACAACGAAAAATACACGTCTGGTAAATTTTTAAAAATCAAACAATGTTAACCATTTGCAGCGAATCAGAAATTTCATCAAGACAAAAACATTATTTATTAAAAAAGGATAAACAATGTAGAGAACGCAAAATGTTTCCAGATTCTGTTTAGTGACATTTAAATGCTTTCTTAGAAAAGTGGTACATCCAAAATGTTATCTGGAATAACAAAGTTTGTTTATGGTTATTGATAATTCAGTTTATCTACCTTTTTGTAATGAATCAGGTCGAAGGAAGGGGGTACCTAGAGTAAATAAACAAAATCGATATAATTAGATTTGATAATACAAATAATTTACTCTTAATTAAGTGCAGACCTCTGTCAGATGAGTTAGTTCTTTGGTAGCACTGCAATGAATTAATTTTGTCAACAACGAGAAAGAACACATTCCTCTGATCTGTCTTGTAAATAAATGATATGGCTCGCATTTATAAACAACAACTATGTTTTGAATAGTATAATGGAAAGGGGATCCTATAAATCTCCCTATCTTCAAATTTTAGCACATGCATAAGCATAGCTTTATCTTTTTGTTCGATGCAGAGAAATCTACACTTGCCCTGAAAAAAAGGCTAAATGTATAGTATACAAATAAAAGAAAGAATTTCAAATTATTTCGAAACACAATTGGATCCTCTTTGGCTTTTTCCTTTCAATGCCTTCAACAATTTGAGATACATTGTTTACTATCGGAAGGACAGAATAACAAGGATAGACTTTATGATTTTATTTTGAGTGGGTGGATGGGTAAAAACCAAAATTATTAACGTCCTCTAATATAATCTTTCAACATACTCGTATTGTGCAATCACTGGCACTCTTTAAATTCTCTTACTAATGTTGTCCAGATACGGTTGCTTTTTGACCATTGTTTAAGATAATATAAATCATATATGGTACCAATTTTAATGCACCAGATGCGCATTTCGACAAAGTATGTCTCTTCAGTGATGCTCAAGCCGAAACGTTGGAAATCCAAAATATTTAAATTAAAAAAGACTTGGAAGAGCTGATTAAAAAAGGTGCCAAAGACTGGAGCCAAATACCTCGAAGATATCATTATTTGTGACGTCATAACCTGCAGCAGTTAAAGTGCTCAAAGAAAATATCGTCGATTTAAAAAAAAATAAGAAATGTGTTCTTTTCAAGGATGTGTGATTCATATTTTAAGTACTTTACTAATATCGGACAAATGTAATATACGAGGAGTGTTCCAAAAATACTGTGTGAAAATCGTGTAAATATCTCACTGAAACCACTTTGACACGTTAGATTGATCACTGAACCGTAGCGGGAGAAAATTTCATGTTCACAATTTCACTGACTTAGCTACAGTGTATATTGCTTTATAGCGTATTCATTACAATATACTCAAAATGACTGGAAAAAGAACAATGCACTTGAAATTAGGCCTATGTAAACCCGTAGATATTCATCGTGAGGCCTGTGATATCTATGGGAATGGTCAAATGTCTCATAGGTTTGTTTGTAGGTGAGTTGCTAAATTTAAAACATGTTACGAACACCTCAAAGACGCTTCTCGTCAAGGTCTGCAACAGTTACATCCAATAATAACATCGTAAAAATCCACCAAATCTTACAGAAAGACGCAAGATATACCGTGAGGCAATTGGCTCGGATGTCAAACTTGTCGTTAGCCCGTGTTCATAATATTTCGAAAAAAAATCTGAAGCTTAAAAAGATAAACGCTAGATAGCGATGAACAAAATGCAAAATGTTGAAAATTCAAAGAAATTATTAAAATTGTATTCAAAATATACCAAAAAGACATTTGATTTATTTTGTTACAGGTAAGGAGATCTGGTTATATTATTTTGAGCCAAAACATAAGAGTTCTAACAGAATCTTGATATCAAAGAATGCAAAACGTCCTAGTGTTGCTAAAAGAAGGTTTACATGTACATTTATTTTCTTTGACAATAAAGGCCCTGTCATGCAAATTCCTGTGCCAAAGGGCAAAACAGTCACCGGTAACTTCTATAAAAATGCTGTTATTAAACTGAAGTAATATTACATAAAGGTCGTCGCCCCAAAACGGGTATGAAGATTCTCCTACTTGTGCACGACAATGCACCTGCACACGAAGCACGCATTATGACCGAGTATTTGGAGGCGGAAAAGGTTACTGTCCTACCGCACCCCCCCCCCCCCCCCCCGTTTTCTCCATATTTAGCCCTGTGCGACTTCTTTCTGTTTCCCAAACTTAAATTCCACCTATCTGGAAATTAACGGGCCTTGCCTGTCTGATATGCGCAATATTTTAATAGTTTCGTATGATAGTGACAGGCAATACCAGTCTAATATGGATAAAGATACAAATCACGAAATGCCCTTGGGTCTGCAATTTTTCAGTATATGATAAGTGCCCCTATTGAGGAGTGTGGAAAATGTTTCCAGAAGTGGATTGTTCGTCTTAAAAAAGTGTATCCAGGTCAAGGGTGAGTGCTTAGAAGGGCAGGGACGAATAAAAGGATCAAAGATTAATAAATGTGGGTGAAAACAGCCAAGTGTCATTATTTTTGGAACATCCCTCGTATATTGTATATTGTATCGTATAAAGTAAATGTTGAGGACAATTAGATGGTTTATTTAGACTTGTTACTTGATTTCAGCATATATACGTGTAGTATTGTGGCCATCTATAAATTATATTGCAATTTAAGGTCATAACAAATTTAAAAATCTAAGTTAATTTATATTTTCAAAATTTTTATAGTTTGTAAAATGTGCTTTCCGTATAGATTTTTACGGAAGCCCGTTGAGGCCACTTCAGAGAAAGAAATATTTTTTATTGCGTTTAAAAGCAAAAAGTATTGCGTTTTATCGTAATAATCATTGCGTTTAAACGCAAAGTGTTTTGCATTTAAACGCAATATACATTGCGATTAATCGCAATCTTTTGTGTTTAAACGCAATGATTATTGCGATTAAACGCAATGTTTTGCGTTTAAACGCAATACTTATTGCGTTTAATGCAATAAAAATATTTCTTTCTCTGAACTGACCTCAACGGGCTTCCGTAGATTTTACTACCTAATTGCTAAAATAACAAATGTTAAACCCCATATTTAATATTTTGTTGGTCAACTGCATTAAATATAGAAATAATTAATTCTTTTGCAAGATTTCACCAGATTTGCAGCACCTTTCAAATACCTTATTACTTCTTGAGTGAAATTGTAAAAGCTTGATCCATTGAGGATATGCCTTTGCAATTTATCGATTTATTAAATCCCTATTATTATCCTTCAATGAATCTGCAAACAAATATATCAATTGGCTTAGAATAAAAATCCTAAAACAGGCATTGCATCCAAGTAAATAGTTTGTTACATTTCTACGAATAATATTCTATTTGACAAAAAAGTATATGATATTACTAGATATTCCTCTCACTGATTACAAACTGTGTCAAATTTTTCGATATGACCTCATATTGACAAGTACATTGCTATCAGTGATCATGAACTGTCTTACCTAGCTGTGTAGG